AAATTTTTTAATATTACCAACACCTAAAGGTATTTAACCGGCTTTGACACTTGCAAGTTGCCAGAGTATAAAATGTTCGGCTACAGCCGAACTTAGCGCTTCCTTACTTCTTCACATATACTTCTTCATACATACACTTGCATATACATATGTATATGTGTTTTGATGCGCATACATTTATATACAGCAGCTCCTTTCAAAGCACATATGTACATATGTATTTATGTGTGTGTATAAGCGCCGTCCTTTAGTGCCTCTTTAGTATTCACCAGCTTGCCTGTTTTCTGCACTTGACCCACCTTTTTGCAGCAATGCAGCAGCAGTAACTGTAATTTCGCGTGCTTTGCACTCTCACCTTTTCACTTTGTGCGCTCACCAGTTGTTTGTAATGGCATTTTGTTGGCGTAGGTGCACACAGTTTAAGAGCACTGACGAATTTTCTAAAATTGTCATCACAAACATACAAACATAGTGTAAGTGAAAATATTAAGAGTAACCAAACACGCACGAGGATACAACAACAAACATACAAACAATCTAGTATTCTGAATTTAATGAGCTCAGAGCTCAGGTCGGTTGATATTCTTATTAAAGCGTATCACTTTTTATTTTTCAACTGAAACTAATATTGAAAATAAAGATTTAGGGTTTAGCCCTTGTTTATTTTAAGATCATTCCATGGAGGTTTCTGAACTTATAAATATATTCTCGGAATATGTTGCATAGAAAGTAACTGCTCAAAACCTATCAAAGAATTCAGAAAGGCGAGACGAATTGATTTAGAGTTGACAGTTTGTCTGTCAATACACAATATTAGAATGGAAAAAAGCGCCAGCTTTAATAAACGGGATCGTCTAAAACTATTGACCCCAATGAAGGATTTTCGACCAACCGCTTGGCTTTATGGTAATCTTTTATTTATTTTCACTTACAATTTGAAAAAGTCATAATATTCGATTTCAAAATATAATATATCTTTTTTGTTTTTGAAAATCTGCTTTTGATAACTTTCATTAGAGCCGAACGAATAGTGGATAGCTACTGGAAATTTCTAGCTGAAGCAGCAATTACTTACAAGTTCGATTACGGTCATTCCCGCATAAGGGAATCTCCTCGATAATGTGTTCTCCGATGGACAAGGCTAAAGGACGTGTTATCCAAAGGAATCAGAAAAGTTAGAAAGGCAAACATTTCCAAAACTATAAGTTCTGACAGAATAAATGATTTCATCTTAAACTACAATATGTTGGATCGACAAGAATAAAGTATTTCACTATATGTATGGTATATCACTTCTAGAATGCATAATACTAGGAACATTAGAATATTTGTTCCTAAACTAAAACAAGGAACTTTATCCTCTCTCTCACTATGATATACTTACTTACGCGCTGTAGCGGCTACTAAGCTGTTGGGACCAGAACCATTCTTGGCATTGCGATTCCCACACTACAAGATAATTATTCCGATAGGAGCAAAGAGCGGAAAGAGATAAGTATTAACAGCAACCTCTTGGGTTGCGTCATGCTAAACTGTAACTTGACGGGTACAACCGCCTCTCGAGAGAAAAATTCTGGCTAATGATGTCAATATACACTGTTCACTGCAGGCTCAAGAGGCACATAGAGACATGGAGCCTGAAACTCTGCCTGCTTCTAGATTGCGTGGCAAACTGAATCCGCAGAAACAGGGAGCATATTGTCTCATAGGTGATATTAGTAGAGTGTTATGTGAGTGTTTGTGAAAGAAGGAAATAAGGGAAATCATGGTCGCTGTGCATACCTCAATAATTATTCTATACCATTCTATTTTCTCCTCACTATAAACAAATGGAATGAATGATTAGAGAATTTATAACAAACTTTGTCAGCAACACAAAAGTTCCGAAAGTCAACTACACTAAAACTACTGAGTGTTACGATTAAGGTACAGAGTCACAATAATATCCTCAAATAACTAGGCGGTAGTATTTGCGGTAAATGCAAAGAAACGTTGTTGTTTGGATACAAGACTACAAGCGCTAATCTACAAACATGTCGCCCTAAGAATCGTGAAATAATACCTCTTGATGCCTTGTCAAGCGCACACACACTGAGGTCGACATCCATGGCAGATGAAGAGCTCGAGTTTACTTCGCGCGATTTCATTATGGATATTGTAGATATTGTAGCAGGTTAAACATCTACTTATCAAAACTTCACCGCGATATACCCAACATACGTACGGGTGTAATGCTCAGACAGAAAGGTCTCCCGCTCGAAACTAGTTAAGAAATACCTCATAAAATGGATGAGTTGGATTGACCTATTTCGTGATAAGACTTATATGGGTGCCTGTTCATAGACGAATCGGCAGGGACTAAAAGTTTGATGAGCTTGCAAGTATATACTATATTCTCATTATTACCGAATTGGCGCGGATGTGAGTTCCGTTGTCTGCTTGCGCTTTTCTGTTCAACAGTTAAGTCCCAAGAGCGCTGTTATACTGTCGGCACTTGCGTGATATTGTGATATGCTCCCCTTGTGCATCATTGTCTGATTGGAATTCATGCGGCAGGACTAAAAATCTAGCCAGATGTTTAAATTGCCTGTAAGATAGCAAGGAAGAATTTTCTCAGCACTAACAGTTTGACTAAAAGAAGCTTCACTCTCACTATTTAAGTCACCTTGAAGCAGTATGTGAAAATTAATCTCCTTGATAGATTTGTGATGGAACTAAAAAGTTTAGTCGATATATGAAGGTTTAATTTATCTACAGGAATAATTTAGCTTTGAAACTTTTGATCGGTAATCAGGAATAAAGCATCACCTAACAAAATGAGAGCAATAACAAGCACTGTATTTTATAGTGAAACCTCCTTATGATATTTCTCTGTAATGCTTAGGCTGTGAGGCTAAGATATAAACATATTTATATGTACGTTTAAGAACATTGTCACAAACTCTATTAGCACCTGCAGAACACTCGCGAAACTACTATAAGAATTTTGCAACGAACTTTATGTTGTTTATTAACTCTAGAACCCACTGTACACTTTCATTATTCTCGAATTATTACTACGTCCATATGTATATATATATTAGGGTGGGCAAAAAATTTAATTTTATTTTCGCTTGATGCTTCGAAAAATTGTTTGGTAGACACCTCTAAGAAAGGCTCTACAAGTATCAGCTCATAATTGTAACGGGAAGGTTCTACGCCGTACCGGTTTTTTCGTAAACTTAATCGCGTAAAAGATATTAACGGTTACAATTTGACTATTTTAGGGCAAAATTGTTTTTTTCTTTTGAAATTCATAGCATAATGAAAAAAACATAATTTTAAATTGCAAAATCTTATAGAAAATTTTTTGCTCTACAAAACTGGTCAATATAATTTTCGATTAAGTTAAGCGTTTGCGAGATATGCATCGTCAAACATCAATGCTTATCAAAGGAAAACACAAAAAAACAAAAACGAGAAAAAAGAGATAATTTTTTCATACGATTTTTTGACCCACCCCAATATATATATGTATGTATGTATATTTTTGTGAATGCTGCTGAGCCTCTACGTACATTTAGAGAATTTCAACTTTTTTTTCCATCATAGTGGGTGTGTATGCAACGTGGGTGTATGGGTGTGCCTTTATGGATGCGAGTGCGAGTACGCTACACACGGAAATACAAACGAGCTAGTGTTTCAAGTGTGTGTTTGTGTGTGTGTTGAAGCTTGCGCGTGATTTTTCCTAGCAGGGGGTGAATTATATATATATATTTCCATTCATGCTCAACACTAGGCTTTATGCACAGTCAATGAGACTACTGAGACGCGCTGTGAGCTATAGCGTAGCTGCTGCTTTGCTTTTGTTGCTTATTTGCTGATTTTTACTTTTGGCAGCAAAAGACGGTAGAGTATAAAACAAAAGTCAGATAAATTATATTTATTATTTTATAAATAACAAAATATGTATATATTTTTAAACTAATCCTTTTCACTTCTCGTTTGCTTCACATTTCACATAATATTTGCACGTTACTGTAATTATGCGAAAACTTTTTGCTTAACTCATATTTCGATTTTTTCACACTTTCGCACATGTTTTCTGTTTGTGTGTTTTTTTTTTTTGCTCTTACGCTCCCTTAAGGACACGTTCGCACATACATACATACTATATATTTATATAGGTATATTTGTCATATTTGCTCGCGTAGTAGTTTTCCACATTTACGCTTTATTTCACTCTTATATTTTGTGCTTTTTTATGTTCTTTTTTTGTTGTTTTCTTATTTTGTCATTTGGCTTTTACCTTTTCTGATGGTCGTTTTTACGCACTGCGGTGGACACTGCGGTCCAATGGTGCTTTCAAAATTAATTATTCACTTGCCCTGTTAAATTAACATTTGTTTAAGGCACCATCATCATCAGCAATAACAAAAACAACAATATAATAACAACAACATCATCATCATCATTACCATCTTTGCTTGCTGGCCGTATGAATGGATGGCTAACAACGCTTGCACGAGGAAATTGAGTGCACGAGAGAATGGTTGGGCAGGAAGTTGCCTGCACATGGATGTAACTGTAAAAAAAAGAGCGCTGAGCACACAGCTACACACATATATACATATGTATATGATATATAGTATATTATATTGAACTCCTACAAAAGTGAGCCGACGTACGAATGAGTACAAGGACTCTATAAAATTTTCAGCCTTTCGACCGTACGACCGACCTACCGACCGAACGAGCAACTGTAAAACGCTGCCTGTGACACCAGAGCAAACAACAAAACGTTGGCAATAGAAAGGCAAAAAAGACTCAAAAAAAAAAATTAATAAAAATTTTTTTTTTAAATTTTCATAAAAAAATTTATATGTATTATTTTAAAACTTTTTTAAAATAAATTGTTTGATAGAAAGACGCTATTTAAACATGTTGTGTCTATAACAACCACGAAAAAAATCTAAAATCTACTGATACTTATTGTAGGCAATGCTTTTTAGCAGGTTTACCGTCGTTTTTGGGCAGCGTAACACAAAACCATAGATCAGTTACACATTTCCGCAACAACTTTGCAGCTTTCACGTATATTTTCTGCCAACATATAAGCGCAGAATTATCATACATAATTTTTCTCACATTCCCATACACGATTACATTTCATTTTCGCATTTGCTTTGCGCACATTTCACATGTAATTTTCACGATTTCCGCAAATTGCACAATTTTTTTCTTTTTCTTTTTTGCACGATTTTCACAAAAAAAATCTTCAACTTGCTTTCATTGCGATTTTCAGCGAATTCCAACTACCATGAAAAACTGTTACCGAAGTATTTTATGGAAACGCACAAAAAATAATGGAAAAGTTGTTGCGAGAAAGGAAAGAAAAAACACAAATTTCTTTAATTCCAACAAAATCCACAACAGCAGCGGCGCAGCACAGCACAGCACAGCAAATTATCAACGACACCGACAGCGACTACAACGACTTCGAACGACGGCGACGACTACGACCACAACGCACGAACAGCAACGCCAGTACTCATCAGACCAAACGGCTTACGTATCCTGCGAACCCAATATTGACGACAGCTGCTCCTGCCAATGCTGCTGCTACTGCTGCAATGTATAAGCGCCTATTTCTATGCTTTGTGCGATGTTTCGATGTTGCTCAGTATAATCGCTGCAGCAATGTAAGCGCGCTCACCACACATGCTCGCCACTTGCGCTCTACTCGCTACGTTAAATTATGCACAAAGCACATCATTAAGTAGCGCTTGTCGCACTCTCTGCCACTTCCCTGAAATTATTTTCGTCCTTCAAGTGCATAAAATTCAGTGATATATTTTCACCACAGCGCCTTTCAGTTTCCTTTGCCACTCAAAGCTCTCAGGCATGTGTGCTTTTGTACCCACGCGCGATGTTTGGTATACTGTTGGCGCGCTCTCACTCTCTTCTCATACGAGAACTCAATTAATTGCGGCTTAAAAAGGATAACAGTATATTTGGCGTTTTGGTTAGCGTCAGCGTCGAAATGAACAAAAAAACATCGCACAAACCATGTGCTGTTTGGTAAGGCAAATTAGTGTGCCGGAATTCGGATTTAGATTTTTATTTTGAACAGCCTAGTTTAAATAAAAAAGAACGGTAATTTGGGGTGCACCGAAGCTATACTACCCTTCACAAATACAAAAGAGTTCTTATAAGCACTTGATTCCGATCGTTCTCACGTTCAGGCTCAGTTTGTATGGCAGCTATATGATATACTAATCCGATATCGCCGGTTCCGACAAGCTGTGAAGCTTCTTGGGGGAGGAAACGATGTGTGTAAAAGCTCATATCGATATCTCAAAAATTAAGAGATTAGTACGCGTATATACAGACAGCCGGATGAAGAGACGAACACGGCTAAATCGATTCAGCTCGGCACTCTATTCATTTATCTATTTGTTTTTTAGGGTATTCGACTTTCCTTCTTGGTGTTACAAACTTCGTGGCAATCTTAATAACAGGGTATAAAAAAAATACATAATTAATATGGCAAGTTGTTATTCATGCTGTGTTCCGTACTTCATGTACTTCCTAAAAATAATCTCATGCTTACACCCATCCTAGAGCCTTTTATAATAATCTTTTCCTCAACATGTTTTACGAGTACATTTTATGAGAGTCTCAGGGATGAACAGTTTTAAACCTACCCAAAACGGCTAATAAATTTGTTGAGAAGCTTTTCTTAATTCAGAATTATATTCGGAGATCTCATATTATTTAATGAGTGTCGAAAGCTTTTGGAAGTTAATTATTTTGAAGTGAATGTTGCCTTCGCAAAGGTTTTGAGCTAGGAGTTTTTGGGATTGCCTGAATATCTGAAAGAGATAGAATCGATATAAGCCTTAAAAATTCAAGATCACATTTATGCATAGTTCCTGTATTAGATCATCAGTTGAACTTCGAAGTTTCAAGGCATTTTGGAAGAACTTGCAAATAATAATAAGAATAATACAGGGTATGGCTTAGTTGACAATACTGCAACTACATTAAGTATTAGCAAAACCAGAACAGTAGCATATTTTTGCCCACCAAACGTTTGTCAATAATAGGGTATTTGATTCGATATTCACAGTTTTTGCAGTTAACCAAGAATTCAAAGTTTCCACATCTTCATATTTCGATAGCTAATACCATAAAAAATAACGTGCTAAAATTGAACGATATCTCAAATAGCTTTAGAGTTATAGCCTTCTAAAGTGCTGCTCTATGGTATATCTTTAAACGTGTGGTTCTTAAAACTACATTTTCCAAATTTGCTTGAGTGATTTCTCGTAGATAAATGATCAGAATTTTTTCTGCTTATTCCATACAATGAGCTACAAGTTTTTTGGTCTTATCAAATTTTTGGAGAAAGTTTAACTATTTTTTAAAAAGCCGCCACATTGTCAGTTTTTGATTTTTTCTACCTTAAGTCATTGTACGTACAATGTTTTCTAGTAAAGAGCTTGTTTTAGGTTTTATCCAAGGAGAAGGCCGAAACCACTGCCGTAGTGGAGGAGCTTTGCTCTAGCGCCGTTGGAGGTCGCGTTTAACTCGTAAAATATTTAATTTTTTGCTTGAAGCATTTCATTGTGTATTGCAAAATTATGTATAAATATACACATTTAAAATTTTAAAACAAGTGATACAGTAGATTTGAATTTTTAATTCCCAAAAATCACCTTTTATAGGTAGTTACACTAGATACATAAAGTAGTGGTTATGGTCCTTTTGTTTTATGTACTTACGTTTCCTCCATTTTGCTTGTAGTTGTTGTTTTTAAGAGATGATGAGAGAGATCTGATTCAAAATAACTCGCTTACAGGAGAACGTGGCTTCTAAATGCGATTTAGTTACTAAAAAGAAAAAGAAAAAGAAAACCGAAAAAAAGAGATCGAATCAAGGCATTGGAAAAATTTAGATATTGGGAAATTGGCTTGGTACAAGAAATATTGGGCCTAAAAACAGAATAAATAAAAGACGTGAACATAAAGCTTTTGAATTAAAATCATGTTTGTGGTAGTAGTACTACATGGAGACAAAGTTAAAATTAAGGATCCTGCGAACGAATTTAACATTTTGATCTCCACCTTTTAAATTGATTGCCTTTTTTCGACAAATAATTCACAATTTTAGTAGCCTAAGGTTTACTAAATATATTGGAAATTATTATAGATAACTATAACAAATTATGAGCTCATTATCTTTAACTTGCCTAACTTAACCCAAAATCAAATAACGACTTTCAAATCTTTCCAAGAAATTAGTTGTAGTAGTAGTAGCGCGTGCCCGTTTATATAAAATTTGGTCCGGATTGAACTTAGTGCTTCCTTACTTATGGCACTATCAATTACTCATTCATTGATGATTGTATTGTAGTAAAAATCTGCTTCAATGGCGGTCTCTTTTGATTGTGCGCCTCTTCTACTTAACGAAGAGTGTATTTTGAATTTGGTGATAAGCAGGCGGTTGCTGGACACACGATGCGTGATAAGAGCAGTTGGCTGGCTCAACAAGTAGATTACCCCCGGCGATCGCATTGAGCTAATAATTCAGTTTCAAATTAATACTAGAACGGAATAGACCGACTAATCGGTGCGAACGGTATTTGATACGGAATAGTGAATGATACAATTTTGAAAAAGCGCTTCTGGTGACAAAGTTGTTTTAAAAAACAAAACGAAAAACGAGATTTTTAACATATAATCGTAAATATTTAAGTGAATTCTTGCTAAAAAAAAAGCAAAGTGTGCCTACAGTGTTAAATCAGTTAAGCCAGTGAAGTGGTGATGTGAAAAAATGGAAAAGTAAAGTATTGCAAATTGCCAATGCAAACCAAATTATGGTTGAATTCGGAAAAACTAATGAGGATATTTATTTTTTCATTTTCTTTAGAATTCTGCGTCAAGTAAAATCATTTTTCAAAGCTTTATTATGTTTCCTAATTGCCTGCTGCCTGTTGCCGATGGTGATATTGTCCTTTGTATGTAAGTATGGTGATCATGTGTGCGCTTAACTAACAGACATGATCATCAATTACAATAATACCAAATGATACGCGCTAATAATAAAAAATTAATTTAAAAAAAAATTGTTATATTGATGAACAAATAGCGTACTTTTTTAATTAAAAAATTATTCAAATCACTCTAAAACAAGAAAAAACGTTAACTTCGTTACATCGAAGCTATAATACCCTTCATAAGTAAAAAAGAGTCCATACAACAACTGGATTTTGATCGGTAAATTTGTCTGGCAGCTATATGCTATAGTGGTCCGATCTGAATAATTTGTTTAGAGATTGTAATGTAGTCTTGGACAATATTCCATGCCAAATTCGTGAAGATATCTTGTCAACTATAAAAGTTTTCAATACAAGGACTTCATTTTGATCGATCAGTTTGTATGGCAGCTAAGTATGTATTTCGATACTGGCGGTTCCGACCTATGAGAAGCTTCTTGGGGAAAAAGGACGTATGCAAAATTTCAAAGAGATATCTCAAAAAGTGAGTGACTAGTATACTATATACAGACACATGGACATACATTCTAGGGAGCAAATATGCTAATGTGGATGAGAACGTGTAATATCATTTTGATTGCACGATTTTGATTAATCTTAACTGAAAATTCGGTGATTTATATATTTTTTTTCCAAGACATAGAATTTAATCAGATCAAAAATAACTTTTGTGCTGTGGTTGCACATTTTTGCCCGAAATATAATATTATATATGGTACATTATATTTCCTATTAAAAATATATAATATTTCTGCCTATGAGCACCCACGACTGGATGCATGTGTATGCAAAGAGTCTTTCAATTCTATGCACCAAATCACATAAATTATAATATTCGCCTGATAACAAATTATTAACTACAAACACACTTATGCACAAGTAATCAAACATATTTATGCATATAATATTTTTTACATTTATTTGTACATAGTCCACCTATCAGCTAAATAAATTGAAATAATGTGAAGGTATAGTGATAGCCGGTGTCGCGTACCGGCTTCAGTCTACAAAAGTTCCAACAAAATTTTTTTATTTTTTTATTTGAAATAATGAAATACTATTTCGAATTTAAAGTTCAAGGCCAGATGCAGGGGAATACAATAACAAATATTGATAATATTATAATATTTTGTAGAATATGCAATGCTTTCGAAGCAACGAGAGGAAGACTGTTTTCGAAATCTACAAGTATAAGTAAAGAAAGTAAACACTACTTTGCTACCCAGTCCGAAGTGGCTCTTAGCCCTGAAAAGAAAGCTTATGCGTAGGATTTTAAAGCTGATAATGCTGGCATGAACCCACAGTATATTTTTAATTTAGGAAATTTTAGAAATTTCGAGCGAATACAATACCATTTCTAACCAGTGATTTGTTTTGAAAGAACTTTGCAATATTTAAAGCTCTCTCTACTTCACTTATTCATTTTCTATCTGGGAAATATCCGTCTTTCCGCCTGTCGCGAAATATCGTTCTGAAATTTACCCTTTCCTTACCAAGAAGCTGTTCATTTGTCAAAACCGCCGATATCGGACCAATGTAGCATATAGCTGCCATACCATCTGAACGATCGGAATCAAGCCCTTATATGGAAAACTTTTTCATTTGACAAGATAACTTCACGAAATTTTGCAAGGATTATTGCCAAAGGCAATGCTATAATCTCCGAACAAA